AATGAAGGGGGCAAATGATTGGATATAGGAGCAGAGCTACCTACAGAGCTCATTCATGTGACCTACCATCCCCTTAGGTTGAATGCTGCACTCGCATTGCACTGCTGTGATAATGGGGAGGAGGCACCATAAGGCCTGGGGCTTGGGGCCTTTCCTGCCTGTCTTCTCCCTGGCTCTGAGAACCAGTAGGAATTAAAGTTTAGCACAGTCTAGTGCCCCAGATGCAAGCCTGTTATCGGAGGGACCACTTTCAGCCCCGACCCAGGCCCTTGATTTAAAGTAGGGGAGAGGAACCTTTTTTCTGCCAAGGGCCATTGGGATATTTAGAACATAATTCGTGGGCCATACAAAGTTATCAACTTAAAAATTATTCTGCTTGGTCAAAGGTTTCATTAACCCACCCCTAATGCTGTGGCAGGGCCCGTCCAAATGATTTCTCAGGCCATACAGCCCTCGGGCCAGATGTTCCCTACCCTCATGAAAGAACTAGCTTTTGGTCAGAGTGACTAATGCCCTTAGCATAAGCCACGGTTTCACTTCTCGCAGGGAATTTCAGCCCTGTCCCGGGCTGAGGAGCCCTGTCTGTGGATTGCCTGGGTTAAACATCAAAACCTACCTCTGGAATCTGTTTCCTGGCTTGGCCATCCTCCCAAAGGGTCCCCTAGGGTGGGAGCAGTGACTGCCTGGAAGTGAGCACTCGAATGTGAGAAGGATCCCACTTAGGCGCAGTCTCACTGGGAAAGGGGCATGAGATCATTTTGTTCCCATGTTAGTTTCTGAAGCCCTTTGTCCTTCTGGAATTGGCAGGCTTGCACTTTTCCTGAGTCCTTACTGATGGTTTCCCTGTAAGCTATTGTTTAGAGTCAATCAAGAAGAACATTGGGCTTGCATGTGCGTGTTAGCACTCCCGTGAAAGTTCATGGACACACTCATGTTCACACACTCACCCAATCACACTGACACACAATCACACACTGACACTCACACAGACTCATTCACGCGCACACAGGAAAGCCATGCCCATCTTGAACTCGTTAGAGATGGCAGTGTCCAGTGGGATGTTTTACTTTAAAGGTGATATTGGAGAGTGGGTCTGCATTTTTAATCTGGCTTTTGCCTTTTTTTTTTTTTTAACTACAGACTTGTGTTAGAATAGAAGAGACCATTAGCAAGAGATAAGGGACTACAATATTTCCTTTAAAAAATATGCTTTTATTTCAGAGAGGAAGGGAAAGGGAGGGAGAGATAGAAACATCAATGATTGGAGAGAGAATCATCGATTGCCTCCTGTACACCCCCTACTGGGGATGGAGCCCACAACCCGGACATGTGCCCTGATCTGGAATCAAACCATGACCTTCTGGTTCATGGGTCGACGCTCAACCACTAAGCCACACCGACCAGGCTACCGTATTTCCTTTATGTTTCACATTATGCATGGGTCCAGCACAGGATATGGTGCAGGCTATCCAAAATCAGATTAAAAACGTTTGATGTCATGGTGTCAATGTTTGGCTGTTGCAACTAAAAATAAAAATGACAGCTTTGTCTGCTACTGAGATTACAAAAAAAAAAGTCTTTTCCTTAATAATTGGGCATACCCTTGCTCAAATTATTAGGAAAGAAGAAATACTTTCCTTATTTGGTCAAGATACTATTGGTAAGTAGGTGGCAAGGACTAGGAATTGAGACAGACTGGTCATGTCTCCATACACCTCACCTGATTTTCTGGCCAGTGGATGACTTGACCAATCACTGAATGAGCAGAACTCTCCAAAGGAAGATACTGATGGGCACCTGACAGAGAAGATGTAAGAAACCCCAGCCTGTATCCACCTGAGGAAGGAGATGCCCAGACGTTCATCTGAACTCTGCAGAAGTGTCTGGGCCATTGCTCCTTTCTTAGCTGTTTAAGAAGACTCAGTGATTATTGTTCACCGTGACAGAATGTGCCACAGGAAATAGCCCTGCAGGGCGTGTATGGGGAAAGACCAATGGGTTCTCGAAACCCAACACCGGCTATTCCCACAGTGACGGGAGGCATCAGAGGTCACTATGGCCTCAGCCCAGAGCACAGGACTGTCCCAGGGCGTGGACTTTTAAAAACGAAGTTTATTTATAGACGGTGCCCCTGGGGCCAGAGCTTGTAACTGTTCCCTGTCAGGCCCCACCCCTTGATCAGCACAGGACTCTACAGAGTTACTGGTGTGTCTTAAATTGGGGCTGAGAACTCTTGGAGGCCCGGGTCACTGACATGCGTCTGTCATTTGTTTTAATTGCTTTACTCTGGCAGATTATATATATGCATATATAGGTATAATTTGCAAAGTTAAAAAGAACATTTGTAAAGCCAACACCTAATTAAGAAATCAACACTATGAATACCTTAGATTCTCCCCCATTCCCTCTGAAGTAAAGAGTGTTTCCAACTTTTTGTTTTAACCAGTCCTTGCTGTTATTTTTATTACCTATATATGCATTCATAAACAATCCTATATAATAAAAGTGTAATATGCTAAGTGTTTGACGGTTCAGTTGACCACTCAACCAGTTGCTATGATGTGCACTGACCACCAGGGGGCAGATGCTTTGACTGGTAGGTTAGCTTGCTGCTGGGGTCCAGCCGATTGGGACTGGGCGAGAAGGCTGGACACTCCCTGGAGCCTTCCTGCAGTCCCTCCCCGGCTGGCTGGCCCCCATCGCTGGCCAGGCCAAGGGACCCCACCCATGCACGAATTCATGCACCAGGCCTCTAGTATGTATATATATATATAAGTTTTGGAAATTGAGCACCAAGTACAAACATAGCTTTGGGAAGCTCCCTGTTGAAACTGTTATGCAAAGGATCCCAAGAGAAGCACAGGCTCGCCAGCAGTTGTCAGCCTTGCTAGTCATACTTCTCCACCATAAATGCTGCAAGAAGCCCATGTCCTTACTGGTCCCTGCACTTGTGGATCACTTTGTTCATGGGGTTTCCATGCACAGTCCCATTTACAAAGGGGTTATAGAAAGTTCAGAGAATTATAAAAGGGGACTCCTTATAACATTTTAATTAAGCAGGGGTCCTTAACCAGAGGCACAGAGAGAAATTTCAGGTGGCTCACAAACCCTTTGAAGCTGAAGGCATTTCGTTCTTTGGGGTGAGAGGGTCCATCACATTTCCAGGGAAATTTGTGGACCCTCTTCCCCCATAAGGATAAGGAATAATGTGGCCATTGTGGTAGGTTGTGTGTGTTTGTTTTTAAGTGAATCTTGAGGCTGTTGGAGATTTCTTGAAACGTGTTTGGTCTGCTTGTGTGTGAGTCTGCATTGACTTTTTACCTCTGAGCGTGCCTCACTGTTGAAAGGGAAATGAGCCGGAAGTTACCAGGGTGGAATCCCTGATTATGCTGTGGGTGGCCTAGCAGGCTTTGCATTTTCTCTGAAACCTACGTCTCCTTCTCTTGCTTGACCCAGAGTAACTAGAATGCTCAAGTGGAGGAAAAAATTGGAATGGTTGTTGTAGTTTCAAAACAGATGACCTCACTGCCGAAATTCCACTTTATGAAATTCCACTTTATGCAAAAGAAACCCTTTTGCTTTAGAAATATAATGGATCTTTGCGGAAACAGATCCAAATGCCCATTTAGTGAGGGTGGGGACAGATTTGTCAATGCTGCAGCTAACTCCCTGGAAACAAAATACAACTATTGTTACACCAACCTCGGAGTTATTTCCTAAGAGATATGGCAATTTAAATTTATAACAAGGGACATTCACTTCTTCAAAGTGGGCGAGTCATTATGCTTTCTATAAGCTGACTTAATGTGAGGGACTTTCAGCTTTGCTCAGCCATGTAAGGGAATTGTGGGATTCCCTAGCTGAGAGATACCTGAGTTTTATCCTGTCCATCTTCCTGTTACAGGTGAGTTGACCAAGGGGCTAGATGCCATCTGCCCACAGTTGCTTCAACTTGTCAGGCTCAGCTGGACCTAGAACCCCAGCGGAAGAGGCAGCTATTTAATGATTATGGTTTAAATATATAATTAGATGAAGATTAATTTTAAGAAATCATAATCAGAAGACATTTCCTAGAGAATTCTCATTTGGATCATACATTTCATTTTAACAAAATGACCCTTGACCACTGTCTTAACCCACCCCTCTTTGAAATGTACTATTTCCTGGGGTGAGGGGGGAGACAGTCTGGTTTTCAGGGTCTGGAACCCTAATGTATGCAAAAGGAGCTTTTATTTCGGTCTGTGTTGTTCTTTATATCTCATAAATTAAGAATTTTTAGGTCTTTGGTTTTTTTCTCAAAAGTTTTTAGTTTCTTCTTGTAGTCAAATGCGAACAATTCTGGGGTTTTTGTTCTTTTGCTTTTTAAAAATTTTGTTTGTGAAGAAAACCAGGAGTTTCAGTTTGGCTGTTGAAAGTCTTTGGGGATTACGAAGAGGGAACTAGGGGAATGGCTAAGATTTGGAACTGCAGGCTGCCTTGTCTCTTCTTCTCAGTTAAGAGCCAGACAGAGTAAGAATAACATTTATTTAGAAACTGAGTTTTATTAAGGAAGGTAATTTACAGGTAAATTTAAGCTTTATGGACTTGGTTCTGGATTCCATTCCTGAACTTGCCATTACTCGCTGCTGATCTTGGACAAGGCCTGTTTTCTTTCTGAGTCTTGTTTCTTGACATCTGTAAAGAGAGGGGTTGGGCCTGATGATCTCCAAGGGCGCTTTGCGGCCCTATGTCTGGACTCCACGTTGTGGAATTGGCAGAGAGGCTGCTCTGGAGCCACTGGTAGCAGGATGGTACCTCTCCTGAGATTGGAGGCCGAGGGTTGCCAGCTGCGTCACTGCACGGTGCCCCAAGATCATTTACCCCCACCTTAACATTTCCCTTGTTCACCCTTTTTATTATCCGAACCTCCTCAGTGTCATTCCGTGTTGGGAGAATCTTGGTCACCTGCTAATGTGTCCCCCTGCACTGACACCTGTCATTTCTCTTCCTTGCCAGTGTGCTGCTGCAGGGTAACATCTGGATTGGGCTCCTGGACCCTTGGATGCTGGGCTACCCTACCCACAAGTTCCTGGATTGATTTGTTGAAAGCAGTAAGTTATCTCCATGTTTCTAGTTTGCAAGCAACTGTAGACCAGTGGAATCTGAGGCTGGAGGGGTTGTGGCCAGCAGCTGCAAAGTCCAACCAGGGCGGCTGATGGATGCCTCCCTCTACAGCCAGCCTCCCTCACACCGAGCTCCCAGAGCCTTGGCAAGGCAGCTGTGACTGCAGACACAGCCTTTCTGCCCCCAGCAGTCATGATCGTCACGGGGCCTTCTGAATCTGCCTCCTTGGAGCTTCTTTGTTCCACCGCCAGAGCCAAACATGATTCTCTCTCTTTACTGGCCTATAGGAAAAGTCTCTTTAGGGGTCAAGTGCAGGTGCTGTTCCCTCTGCCTGCTATCATCTTCTCCAGCATGTTCCTCCTCATTCATCAAGATATGTCCTAATGCAACCCCTGATGTCAACCCTTTTTAGAGAGGCCTTATCTAATGGCCTTGTTTAAAGACATCTTCCCCCCAATCCCATGTATTCTCTCCCTAGACCCTTGCTTGCATTTTTTTCTTTGCATTTACAACAGGATAGGTCTCTTCAGTCACTTGGTATACCAACCATCCGTCCATCCAACCATCCAACCATTCAACCAGCCAGCCAATGACTATTTGAGCATTATATGCCAGTGGCTATGATAGGCACAGTCTGTGTTGTCATGGAATTTCCATGAGGAAAGAAAAAGGTCGAGTAGAAACCTAAACAAATTATCGCAAGTCTGTCTGGGTAGACTGTTGTAAATGCTCTAAAGCAGTGTCATCTGGAGGTATTTTAAAATGCAGGTCCTGATTGGGTAGGTCTGGGCGGGGCCTGAGAGTCTGCATTTCTAACCAGCCCGGGTGATGCCCATGCTGCCAGTTTGTAGATCACACTTGGAGAAGGAAGGTCTAAGCCTCCTGATGCATGTGAGACGTGGCCTTGAGTGTGGCTCTTGGTGAACTGCCTGAGCTGTGTATCGGTAAAGCCGCCAAGAGACCCAGTGGGGTTGTGTCTGGCTTCAGCGGCATGAGGCTGAGTGGTCTGGAACATGAGCCTGGCTGGAAAGTATGGGAGCCTGTTACTCACACCTGTGTCTGTGGGCTTGTACCTCATGTTATTGTAGGTTGTGGTTTTGTCAATGAAATTCTACCTTAAATAATGTGCTTTTTAGATTTATGAGATGAAATCCTGTGGGGGTCTCTACAGTGTGGCTACTCCATACGTCAGTATTTCTGAAAAGACTGAAGGTGTTTTCTTTGTTCCTAAGAGTAGGCTGTGTCAGTCGGGCTAATGCGGCACTTCAGTGGGGTGTGGAGAAGAGAGACCATGCTGGCAGCTGCGAACTGACCACAGAAACCTCAGAGCAGGCAGAGTGAGGAGCCCAGGCACCCCTGCCAAAGAGGTGTGCTGAGTCCAGGCAGGGAACGGGCCTGGGTGGTTCTCCTGAGACACCTGTGTGTGGCTGCAGGCTCGGCCCCGTGGCATTGCTGCCGTCAGACCTTTCAAAAGTCGGTTTCAGTTTTCACAAGAAGCCAACTGGAGTCTCCCCTTGAGTAGTTAATAGTTTTAACAGCCATTTACGGAGTACTTAAAACATACGAGGCACTGGGCAAAGTGCCCGACACAGGGTCTTGTGCTTTAAACCTCCCCACAGCCCATTAGGCAGGTTGTCACTGTTTTACAGAGGACGAGACTGAGGTCGGGGTGAGGGAATTCACCCGGGGTCACACAGCAGGTACAGTCAGGGTCAGGGGTTCAGCCTGTCTGTCGGGCCCTGGGTGGCTGGTTATTTCTGTTATTTCCTTCTGTCTCCACCCTCCACCCCCGTCTATACCCTGGGGTATGAGCCTTCCCTGTTGTGTCAACTCTAAAGTATTGTTTCTGTGGCACTTTAGCCCCTTGAGTTAAGGGACGAGCTTGGTCAATGTGGGCAAAGATGAACAGGGAAGAGAAAAGTGTGTGTTCATTTTGGAGGCCAACTTCTTACCCCAGCTCTGCTGCCCCAGCCAGCCTCCCAGGGACAGTTCTGCACGGGGACTGTGATTACTGCCGGTGGGGCCCGCGAGCCAGCTTGGTCCTCATCGCTGGGAGGCAGAAGCCGAGGGGTCCGGTTCATTCAGTGTGTTCTGATAGCCATTTTCTTTCTTTCTTTTTTTTTATTTTATGCTGTGATTTATATTTATATTTATTTATTTATTTAAATTCTTTATAGTTTAAAGTGTTACATATAGTATTTACATATGTCTCCTTTCCCCCCCATTGACCTCTCCACAGCCACCCCCACCCCTAGAACATGCTCCCACCCCCCTAGTGTCTGTGTCCATTGGTTATGCTTATATGCATGCATGCAAGTCCTTTGGTTGATCTCTTCCCTCGCCCCTGAAAGCCATTTTCTGGCCACTCTGTGGGATTTCTTTATCAAAGACAATCTCCAAATAACCTTGCTGTGCTCAGGGTTATTTGGTCTATTCTGCATCAGATATGCTCTTCTCAGGGTTTTCAGTTAGGCGCCTCGATTTTGGCTTCATGTATATCCTGAGCCACTCTGCACCCAATGCAGAATTAAGTTGAACCCACGTAGCTAGGCTTCCGTGGCACGGTGTGCACTCTGATTCTTACGTTTTGGGCAACGACAGGAACCATGCTATTCCACTGAATGCAGACTCTGTGTTACTAAATCCATGCCTGCACCTCCACACTGGGATGGAATTAGATCTTAAAAGCAGCTCCTTTTTGCTTCTTCAGGCTTCAGGGGTTATGCTTGCTTTTTCACCCAGAGTCCAGGCTCCAAAGCTGGTGGGAATGGGAAACACCTCCCAGCTCCATGGTGTAACACTTGTGCCTCAGTTTCTCATACAGGCACAATGACTAGTAGCTTCTCTTTTCTGGGCCCATTTTCTCAACAGGGAAAGGAGGGAGAATACTAGTACTTGGCAGTGAGAGTTGTTTTAGATGCGATGCTTTTAGGGCACCGTGTACTCAGTTTGGCCACTGATTTCTTCGTTCCACCTGTGTCTGGCTGAATTCCCTCCATTTGAGTTCTTTTCCCGTGTCTGAAGCCAATTTCTCTGTCTGTAGAAATGAACTCATTGAGGGCAAGGTTTATGTTTCATCTATCCTGTATCCCAGGGCCCAGCCCTCAGCCTTGAGCTCAAATCTTTTTTTTTTTTTAAATATATTTTATTGATTTTTTACAGAGGGGAAGGGAGAGGGACAGAGAGTCAGAAACATCGATGAGAGAGAAACATCGACCAGCTGCCTTCTGCACACCTCCTACTGGGGATGTGCCTGCAACCAAGGTACACGCCCCTGACCGGAATCGAACCTGGGACCCCTCAGTCCGCAGGCCGATGCTCTATCCACTGAGCCAAACCGGTTTGGTGAGCTCAAATCTTTGTTAAATAAATGCAACAATGTAATTTCCCAACTATGTCATTTCCCTTCTTCCATTTGCTGACCTAAAGCTAGCTTAGCCTGGTCGGTGTGGCTAAATGGTTGACCATCAACCTATCAACCAGGAAGTCCCAATTTGATTCCCGGTAAGGACACTTATCCAGGTTGTGGGCTCAATCTCTAGTAAGGGGGTATGCAGGAGGCAGCTGGTCAATGATTCTCTCTCATCATTGATCTCTCTCTCCCTCCCTCCCTCCCTCTCTCTCTCTTCCTCTCTGAAATCAATAAAAAAATAAAGTAAATCCAGCCTGTTTGAAGAGCGGTGAATTATAGGCACTGCTGGTGGGTCCCTGCACAAACACAGAGTGATCACAGTGGTCAAGTGACAAGTCTTCACAAGTAAGCCCATGGCAGGTGCTTCCTAGCCGTTTGTGGACGTCAGAAACCCTCCTCTCTGAGGCCTTCAGTTATCTGCAGTCATGGGAGAAAAAGTACATTCCGTCCTAGAACAAGTTTTCTTTGGATTTCTTTAAAATGTCTTTTTACTTTACAAAGTTACAAAAGTAATTTATAACCTGTTGATTTTTTTTTTAAGAAGGAAATGAAGGGAACAGATTTATAAAAAGGGAAGAAAGCAGTTTCCCTCATAATATTCTTCATGCTGCAACTTCTGCCAAAGTTTCAGCCTCTTGGCCTATGTTACAGGCCAGGCTTGGGACTGGCTCCTCTCATTGTACCAGATTGTATCTTTTTAAAAACAATCACAATGTGACACATTTTAGGGTGCCAGGGGACAGAGACACAGTCCCCTTCCCCCTTCAAATGCAGGCCTAAACAGTATTCAGATACGGTCCTGCCAGCCTTGCTTGCTATTGCTGCCTCACCGCAGAACTCTGTCAATCTCTGTCATTCAAAATGTCTCAACCCCAGAACCAGCACTGCTCACCGGGCAGCGCTCAGTGCCAGTAAACTGGGATTCTGATCCATTTCATTCCTTGTCTGAAATTGTGCGTCCATGGTGACATCCAATCACAGCTCTTTTCTCACTTGAGACCTGCAGAGGCAGGTTTCTCTTTGTTAAAAAAAAAAAGCTCAAAAAACATGATTTCTAATTGAAAGAATTTCTAGTCAGCTGGGAATTAGCCAGTTTCTATTTTTCCTCCTCACAGACAGAGCTCTTACCTGGCTCAAGAACAATAAACTATATTAATCCCATTTGCTTTTGCAGAGAAGGAAAAATATTTCCAAGATGGTATCAGAACTCCAAAAATAAAGCCTTCCTGACCCTTTGTGTGTGAGAAAGCATGCTTATTTTTTTTATAAAATAAAATAATATAGTATAACAATGTTCTGTGAAACATATTTTAAAAACTAATATCATAGTCATTGATTCCATGCTAATATAAACCTATCCCATGTCGAAAGACTGCATATTATTTGTTTGCATTAATTGTTACATATGTTTTACATGAAAAGTTACATTACACACGTTTTCATTTTCTTGTTGCTAGCTGGGCTTCTTTTCCTCCCTCTCCTTGCCTTTTATTTTTGGTAATAATGCAGTGAGCATTTTTATAATACTTATTTGTAGACCATGTGGGAATTTCTGTAGAATTTCAAGGTCCAAAG